AGAGAGAGAGAGAGATTCCCCTTGTCTAAGCCCTCTTTCACTTGGAAAGAAACCAGACGCTTCACCATTCACCAAAACAGAGAAAGAAGCTGATGAGATGCAACCTCTAATCCAAGTGAGCCATAAATTAGGGAAATCCATGCCTTTGAGAACAGAAAGGATGCACTCCCAATTCACATGATCATAAGCTTTCACAATGTCTAATTTGAAAACTAGCCCGGGTCTTCCACTGCGTTTCCTTGAGTCAATAAGCTCATTCGCGATTAAAACGGCATCAAGGATTTGACGGCCCCTTACAAAATCACATTGCTCAAATGCAATCAAACCACCCATAAAGGCACTCAATCTTTCCATGAGCACCTTGGAAATGATTTTGTAGAGGCTAGAAACCAAACTTATGGGTTTGAGATCTTTAACATCACCAACTTCTTTTTTGGGGATCAAACACAAGAAACTGTGGTTAACACTCTTTAGAAGAACCCCAGTAGAAGCAAACTCATTCAAAGCATCCAAAATATCCGACTTAACAATGGCCCAATATTTCTTAAAGAATCCCAACGGAAAAGCATCTGGTCCGGGAGCATGGTCTCCCTTCCTTCTTTTTATAACCTTCCAAACTTCTTCATCTCCAAAAGGCCTCAACAACACGTGGGTAGCATGAGGAGGGAGAGAAGGGAAATCAAGTCCAAAAGGAAAAGGCCTTTTAGGATTAGCTTCCCGAAAAAGAGACTCGTAGTAAGAGACAACAACAGTAGCCAATTGTTCTTGGCCTGTGCACAACACCCCACTCACCCAAATGTTGTCGATGAAATTCATTCGGCGATTGAAGTTTGCTACCTTATGAAAAAATGAAGATGTTCCTCATGTGTTGAACAACTTTGTCAAGCAGCCTTCAAAGTCATCAGATATTTGAAGAATGGACCAGGGCAAGGGATACATTTCAGCAGTACTTCTGAGTTGAAGCTGACTGGTTTTTATGACAGTGACTGGGCTAGCTGTCCTGATACAAGAAGATCAACAACAGGGTACTACACCTTCCTAGGTAAGTCTTTACTTACTTGGAAAACTAAAAAGCAGACAACTGTGTCTAGATCATCATCAGAAGCAGAATACAGGGCACTAGCCATGGCTGTTTGTGAGGTTCAATGGTTAAAGGGGTTGCTAGAAGAACTAAGTGTTCAAGTCCCTACACCAATTACAATATATTGTGATAACAGGTCAGCAATTCACATTGCAGAAAACCCTGTGTTTCACGAGAGAACCAAGCACATAGAGATTGACATTCATGTCATAAGAGAAAGAATCAAGACTAGTTTGGTGAAGTTGCAACATGTTAGCACTGTGAATCAACTAGCTGATTTGTTTACTAAAGGTCTTCATCATGTAAGGCTAAGGGAACTGTTGGTCAAGTTGGGAGTCATTCTTCTTTCCTCAACTTGAAGGGGGGGGGGGGGGGGGTGACAGAATTGATTCTGAATATGAAGTCCAGATGAAGACAGGATTGCAGAAGAAATGAAGACGAAGACCAAAGGAAACGTTTCAGTCTCCATAGGATGCTTCTTTATTCTGTTTTACTGTAAGGTGCAACGCACCGTTTTGTCTAGACAGGTTAGCCGTTAGTTAATCACTGTTTGTTTAAAAGTGAACCAATGCTACGGTGACACATGTCCTCTATCTGTAATCTGGATTAAGAACAGAGTATAAAAATGAAAGAGCAGCTGAGCTGCTGGGTAGGTTTTCCACCACCCAAAATCGATTCTTCTGAGTTCGTTTTCATACTAGGGGAGGAGAGAGGGAGTGGGAATCACGCTCGAAAAAAGGAATGGAAGGTGGGTCGCACTCATAGAGCCTGCTCGTCACGTCGACTTCGTGAAAAAACGGGGTCCGACTCGAGTGAGAGAATGACATTCTTGTCTTTTTTTCTAGTGGGCCGGGTCTTTGGCAGAAATTTCTCCAATTTTTGACTTTTTAGCTTTTTCCAATGATTGTTGGAGGAGCTATTTAGCATTTTTTAAAATTTAACTTAATTGTTGAAGATGGTCTAAAGTCACACCAGTCATAATAGTTAGGTCATTATCACACTTGTTAATGTACTTCATCCAACACTCAGGGAGGTCATGGTCGTTGCTTCTTCCCACGAACCAACCATTATCACCATCATAATCGAAATATCATCATGATTAACTTCAGTAGAGAGATCGAAAGACAAAGTAATCAAGCAAAAATTATAGATCTAAATTTAATAACTACAATTATTCCTCATACATCATCTTTCAAGTACTAGTCTAGGATTGAGCAGAGGGAGCTTTAGGCTTGAAATTATGAGGAGGTGGATGACGGGGAATACCTGTTGTCGCCAGCCCACACTCGAAGTCACACCAATCGTAACAGTTGGCATCATAGTTACACTTGTTAATGCACTTCATCCAACATTCAGGGAAGGTAATGGTCGTTGCTTCCTCCCACGAACCAACCATTATCATCATCATAACCGCAATACTTAGTATCACATTTTTCTTTCCCGTCATCTTGTGTCAATTTCTTGATAACAACGTTATAATATATGAAAAAGACTCTATTTGGTTGTCTCGCAGACATATTGAGTTTGATCAGTGTTCGATCAATGCATGTGATGGTTTCTGGAAACAAACACAACCAGACAAACTTATATACTGGCATAATTACTTTCCGTTGAACACCCTAATATAAGTCAATTAATAAAAGCATTAGTGTTTACCTTAACGTAAAGCCATAACATGATGACATGAATTTAATTTTTAACGTTAAACCGGCCATAAGAACAAAAGTAGAAATCAATAGATTTTTATTTGTGGGCAATGAGCTATAACTTCCATTTCCGTTGCACCATTAATAACTAGTACTAGTATTAAACCATTGTAATAACAATTTGCATGCATATATTACACTATTACTACACTGTCTACACCATTGTAATAATAATTTGTAAAGAGCTCCGAAAATCTCGGACCTCGCGATCGGCTACGGCTAGGGATATCGCTCATCAAAACAACGTGATGAGCGCCAACGGCGCAACGTTGGTGGAACCACCGAGCTTGCAAGGGCGGCTACCAGTTGAAGTGAACGCTTCTTCACCCGTCCAGGCGGCGAAGCGGTCGAAAACCATTGGCACTGGGGACTTTACCGGCGCCGGGGACATGCAAGCCGAGAATACCCCAAACACTATGACGGTGCCGACATCGTCGAACGAGGGCCAGGCCACGGGCCTCCCTAAGGTGTCCTACAAGGATACGGTGATCTCACCAACCCACCGCGAATCATCGAGAAGCGAGGAGACAATGGAGGTAGAGGAAGATGACAGTGATGGGGAAGGGGAACCGGACTGCCCTAAGGTTCGTCTCCCTCCCGGCTTCGGAAAGAAAATAGGGAACAGATGGCGCCTAGCACTCATTGTTCGTGTGCTTGGCCATTCTTTTCTCTTCCTATTCCTCCAACGGAGGCTGCAGAGCATGTGGGCTTTGACTGGTCCCGTCACGATCGCGGCAATGGGACAAGGGTTCTACTCAGTGCGCTTCACGACCGAGCACGATTATGATAGGGCTCTTAATGGCGGTCCGTGGATGATCGAGGATCACTACGTGCTCACTCGGGTATGGAGGCGGGGCTTTGAGCCTAGCGAGGAAGAGCTGACTCATACACTAGTATGGGCGCGACTCCCGAAACTGCCAATGGAATACTACGATGAGGAACTCCTCGCCAATATTGGCAACTCCTTGGGGCGGTTCATTCGCATGGATGAGGCCACTCGCCAAGCAACGAGAGGCCACTTTGAGAGGATATGTGTGGAGGTGAACCTAGCGAAACCTTTGATATGCAAGTACAGACTCGAGAGGAGGACCAGGCGAGTGGAATATGAGGGACTGCACAAGGTCTGTTTCTCTTGTGGTAGGTTCGGGCATGAGGAAGAGGCGTGCCCGAAGATGACTTCGGCCTCTCCTTCAGATGCTGATTTTCAGAAGGCCCTGTCCACCGTCCCTTCTCGCCCCATTGAGGAAGAGCGTCCTGAGATCTTCCAGGACTATGGGCCGTGGATGCTGGCAACCCGGACTCGTCGTCGACGTGGAGCGAACCCCCATCCACCACCATCGGGTGTCTCTGGACCCCAATTGCCAAGCAAGTCACGCTCGGGCTCGCGGTTTGAGGCTCTTGAATCATTAAATGACGAGTTACGCGAGCATGCAGAGGTTTTGGAGGAGGCTAACAAACACGGGACAGTTGAGGCGGAAGTGACAGTAGTGGAGGCGGAGGTGGAAGCTGGGATAGTGGCGAGGGATGCGACCCAGGGCAAGACAGAGACCCAACGCCAGAAAGAGGTGAGGAAGGATATAGTGTAGGGAGTGGCTAGTATTAAGGGAGGACAAAAGAATGGAGCAAAGGGGCAACCCACGAAGGGAGTGGAGCGGAAGCCGAGCTCGGCAGGGGGCAGCACTGGAAACAAGCTTAATGGCGATAAGGTGAAGGCACTTGAGAAGGATGTGGCCAAGGAGAACCGCAGCAGCAAAGCGCCAATCAAAGCCAAGACTGAGGGGAAGAATGGCCGAGATGGATCCCCGGTTACCCTTCTGCATCACAAGTCTATGGATTCTGGGAAGACGTAGACTGTGGCTAGGGTATTGGATCTTAATGTAGCTTATGTGGACTCTACAGCTAGTGAGTGCGAGAAATCATGCGCTGGTGCCTCCTCTCTTCGAGGATTGAATAGCACAGCGGGCATGGAGGTGGAGCAATGCTGACTCCGTCAGCCAGGGAAGTTTTCGTTCTTTCGATCCTAGTTGTGTGTGGGCTTTGCTTCTTTTTGAGTATCTTTGTTATGGTTAGTATTTTCTACTGGAACTGCCGCGGTGCAGCAGACCCCAATTTTCTAACGTATTTCTTTGAATTTCGGCGGGTTCATCGCCCGACCATTGTCTTCATTTCAGAACCGAAGATAAGTGGCACGGAAGGACAAAGTGATCAGACAGATGGGTTATGACAATGTGAAATGGGTTGAAGCTAGGGGGTTTTCAGGCGGGCTGTGGGCGCTCTGGAATGCAGGGGATGTGGACTTGACCATGGAAGCTTCGAGTGAACAGATTCTCCACTTCCGTGTTCACCTGCACACAAATGAGGAGTGTCTCATCTCGGGAGTCTATGGCTCGCCTAATCCTAGTCACCGTCGAGCGTTGTGGGAAACCATGCGGGCTCTCTCCTCCGGCACCTCTCTACCGTGGCTGGTCCTCGGTGATTTCAACGCCTTGCTTGGTCCGGATGATAAAAGAGGGGGTGCATCTTTTAACATGTCTCAGAGTAGGGAGTTTCGGGATTGTGTGGAGGATTGCAGCTTGATGGATCTATAGTTTGTGGGGCCGCGGTTTACTTGGCCAGGGCCGAGAGGGTTGAAGGAGATGCTCGATAGAGCCGTTTGTAATACACAATGGCTTCAGAGCTTCCCAGAGTCCTTCACGACCCATCTCACTAAAGTCAAATCGGACCATCGCCCCATTCTAGATGCGATGGAGAGAGTGCGCGGGCCGAGGAGAGGGGAGAAGCCCATTCACTTCCTATCGCCGTGGATGCAGCATAATGACTTCTCCCGTGCACTTCAGGAGGGATGGGCGAAGGGTGACAGCTACAGGAGGAGTCTGGCTCTGCTTACGATGGATCTCCGGAATTGGAACAAGGAGGTGTTTGAAGACATATTTGCTAGGAAAAGAAGGCTCATGGCTCAGCTCAACCGCCTAGAGATGAGGAATGAGTCTCACCCGTCGCCTATAAGTCTCAAGGAAAAGGAGGAGGTTCAGCTAAGTCTACAGGAAACGCGGAGGCATGAAGCTGCTCTCTGGTATCAGAAGGCTCGCGCGCAGTGGTTTGTTGAGGGGGATTTGAATACACGCTTCTTTCATCTTGCTACTCTGAAACGGCGAAGCGCCGACCGCATTCGAAGGCTCAAGCGAGAGGATGGAGATGGTGAGTCTTTTCCTTCGCACCCTTTTCACGGACCAGTTGAATTCGGTGGACTTCTTGGTTTCGGCTTTCCCTACCCTCGAAGACATGACCAACCTCGATGCTGAGCTGGTTGGGAGCGAGGTGGTAACAGCACTAAAGAGCATGGGGCCCTATTAAGCCCCCGGGAAGGATGGTTACCAACCTCTCTTCTTCCAAAGATGCTGGGGAACGGTCGGTAGTTATTTCTCCCAATTTGTTATGGATTGCTTCAGGTACCCAGATTTGGTCGCATCTGTGAAGTGGCCTGAGCTGGGTTCCGACTTGCGACCGATAAGTCTTTGTAACGTTTCCTATAAAACGTTTACGAAGTGTTTAGCCAACAGGTTGAAGCCATTGATGTCGCAACTCATCATGCCTAATCAAACGAGCTTTGTTCCTGGTCGGCATATCCAGAGTAATATCATTATTCTTCAGGAGGTGGTTCATACCATGAGTATGAAGACAGGGAAGAAAGGGTAGATGGTGATCAAAATTGATTTGGCCAAGGCGTATGATCGGTTGAGTTGGAATTTCGTGGTCAGTACGTTATTTGCCGCAGGGCTGCCGGAGAGGTTTGTGAATGCGGTCGTGGCTTGTTTAACATCATCAACGATAGAGATTCTGTGGAACGGTGCTACGACGGAATCTTTCAAGCCAACCAGGGGCTTCGCCAGGGGTGCCCACTCTCCCCCTATATTTTCACCCTATGTATCGAGCGTCTGGGTCACTTAATCCAGGAGGAGCTGCGCAGGAAGCGGTGGAAACCAATCCAACTTGTTCAGGGAGGAACTGAGCTAACCCATCTTTTTTTTTTGCAGACGACCTGGTACTCTTTGTCGAGGCATCTTTGGAGCAAGCAGAGGTTATCAGATCTTGCCTGTAGAGGTTTTGTGAGGCATTGGGGGAGATCGTGAGTACGGATAAGTCTCGAGTGTTCTTCTCGAAGAACACAAAACGAGACGTCTGTAAGGAGATTGGCGATCATCTCCAAATCCCGATGACACAGGACCTGGGGAAATACCTTGGTGTACTTGTCATGCATGGCCGGGTGACGAAACATACCTGTAAATATATTATTGATCGCATTGACCAACACCTTGCAGGTTGGAAAGCGGAGAACTTGTCTCTTGCAGGTCGGGTTACACTTGCTATCTCGGTGCTAAATGCCATCCCGTCTTATGTTATGCAAACATCGATGCTGCCAGCGGGAATATGTGACTACCTGGACCGTAAGATCAGGGCGTTCATTTGGGGCTCTCAAGAAGGTCGGCGGCGAATCCATTTGATCAACTGGTAAACGACTTGCCTCCCAAAAGACCAAGGCGGGCTGGGGCTACGGAATGCGCGGGATCTGAACACCGCGTATTTCTTGAAGCTCGCTTGGGAAATTCTCAAGCAACCGGGGGAGCTGTGGGTTTGGGTGTTGAAGGAGAAGTATCTCAGGGAGGGCCCAGATGAAGTGGAGCTCCGGCGAAAGACCCGCTGCTCTCAACTTTGCCGTGGAGTGCGGCGTGTGTGGGGAAGTTTGGGATTTAATAAAATTGAAAGGGACAGAACGGGAATAAAAAATATAACAATGCAAGATTTTAAAATAGTTGATTCCTATCAGCTATTTTAAAAACCTGCATATTAGAGTTTTTGAAATCTCTCATACCCACAATCCTTAACCTATCCAAACAAGTAAATTTGTTAAAATCCTGCAGAACGAGATATTTGGACAAAATCCTGCGTACCAATCTCTAATCCAAATGATCCCTATTAGGATTTCCCAGAAGAGAAGGTCCACAACTTTTATGTGCTCCTCTGGCTTCTCTAGAAATAACGAAACAACTAGTATTAGAATAATGCTTGTTTGGCTTCACAAGCATTGTCAGACACATCATTTTTTCCTCCGAACATGCCTTTAGGGGGAGCAATGCTCCCTGCAAGGTTGCCAACCAGTAGGTCGATCCGCGAGTTGACCCACTTTGACTCTGACCCGGTGAGAAAAATGGGCCGCATGTACCCGTCGGGTTGACCGCTACAAGGTACCGAGTTGGAGGTTAAATTGTATCATTTTTTTTGTTTGCGAAATGCGCCTATTTTTCGATTTTTCTTTCCTCCTAACTCGATTTTGAGAATCCTAAGTTGAACATTTGAATATTGATGTTACATAAGTGTGTGAATTTTCACTATATATTGGATCTAAGTACGACATTTTATTTTGGTGTGATATTATATGTTATAAGTTATAACTCATATGTTAGATGAGATTTGATATAATTTATCAGGATAAGTACAATATAATGACTCTTTTCATATTTCCGGGCTAAAACGGGTGACCCATTAACTCTTTTCATATTTCCAAGGCGGCGGCGGCCACGACTAGGGCTTCCACGCCCCTAGCGGACAATCGGCGCGAAGGTGTCGTGGTGGACGAGACGGAGAGTGACGATCTCCAAGCCTCGATGCGCACCATCATGGCGATGCAGTTGAGGATCGACTCCAACATGGAGGAGGTGCGGGCTGAGGTGGAAGAGGCCAGGCGTGAACGTGACGTGATCATGCAACTCCTCACCAGCATGCGGGAGGAGCAGGGGCGGCTGGCTGCGGCATTGGGGCTCGGCGGGGGAGATCGAGCCGAGGTGTAGGCGACCCGAACGAGCCCAGCAGTGGTGGCGGGCCCTCGCGCGGGCGCGGGTGGAGGAGGTGCGGTGGCGGTCCCGACGGCTGGCGGGGCGACGGCGGTTCCGGCGGGGAGCATGGCGGCGACCGGGTCAGGAGGAGGGGCAGCCGGGACCACCGTAGGGCAGGCAGCGGTCGAGCGAGTGGGCCCCGATGCTGAAGGGCCTCGTAATGGGCCCGGGCTGCTACCGAATCTGAAGGCTGAGGAGATCGCGGCCATACGGGGTAAGGCGAAGATGTCGGGCTACGACAACGTGGTCCAGAATCCGTGTTTCAACCCAATGGGCTCACAACCCATGGAGCGTGAGATGGGCCGAGTGCAACGGGCCGGGGGCGGGTTCGATCGGGCAGGCGGGGCAGATCGGGTCATGGTGAACTGGGGGCCAAATGGCCGAACCGGATCGGGCTTGGTCGAAGGCATTCGGACCGGGGCTGGGTGGACCGAATTCGGTTGGACCGTTGACGGGTGGACCGAGGAGGGTCGACCCGGGGCAGGGTGGACCACCAATGGCCAAATCGGGGTGGGCGGCCCAAAAGCGAACCCCACCGGTTCGGGTTGACCTCGGATGGCCGATCAGTAGCCGAATGGCGAGCCCAGCTGGAGGGATCAAGTGCATACGGACCTCCGATCGCAGCGGCAGCAGGAGATTCAAGAGGCCAACCAGGTGGGTACGGAGACTACTTAGGCGAGAACAGACATGGCTGGGGCGTAGGAGGCGATGCGCGCGGACCTCCGGGGTATCACAGAGGTTACCCTAGTGCTGGCAGGTAGGTGGGTATGATCGATATGATGATGAGTATGGGTTGGTGTTTAGGGCCAAGCCGCCGACCATTGAGTTCCCAAAATTCAATGGCCAGGAGGACGTCGGTTTATGGTTGTATACAGCTGACAGGTGGTTCAGAAATCACCCGAACCGGGAGGAAAGGAAGGCGCAAATGGCGTCCTTCTATCTGGAGGGAGACGCCCTGCATTGGTGGGAGTGGTTAGAGCGATCCTAGGCTTCCGCGCAGACGCTGATTACTTGGCCGATCTTTCAGGAGGAGCTTCGCTACCAATTCGGCAAATTCGAAGGGTGGGCGCCGGACGGAGTTCCTCAAACTGGGAAACCAGTGTAAGAGAGTTCCAGAGGAGACCCTGGTGGGCATGTGCATTGCAGGTCTAAAACCTGAGATTGCTGCGGCAGTCAAGATTTTTGAGCCAGATACCTTGCGGGCTGTTTTTCGTCTTGCGGGGCATAAGGAGGAGGAGCTGGCGAGCTGGAGGAACGTCATAGGGTGTTACCTCAAGACCGGAGGAGGAGGCCACGCCGGTGCAGGGAGCAACGGGAGTGGCAGCACCGCTATTGCTGCTAGCGGCGAGGCTGGCGCAGCACCGGGAGCAGTAGCTCCGGCAGCACGGCTTGGGCCGAGGACTCTGCCTAAGTGCTTCGTCAGGCTAAGCTCAGCGTAGATCGATCAGAAGAGAAGGGAAGGCAAGTGCTTCAATTGTGATGAGCGGTTCACCATTGGGCATAAGTGTGCGAAGCCGGACTTGATGATGCTAGTGGGACGATGGGAGAATGAGACCGAGAAAGATGCGGCGGAAGGCAGGGGCGAAGATCGGGTGGAGGACTGGCAACCTTGAGGACAAGGTTGATTCGAAGGAGGCGGGGATGATAGAAAGCTGCATTTCGATTTATTTAGCATTTGGACTTATTTGCTAGTTTATGATTGTTTACGAATTTATGGGTAATTGGGAGATTTAATTGGGGGTTTAATACGTTGGGGTAGTCATCGCTAATTAGGAATTGTTATTTAAACCATTTTTCTACGTTGAATGAGATTAGCAAAAGATTAAACCCTAAACCTATTATCCCACTTCCTCTCTCTCTTTTCCTCCTCTCTGCCGACCCTTCCAATTTCCCCTCTCCCTAGTGGCAGCCCACTGCCGCGAACTCCCACCTTCCCCCTTCTTCTTCCTCTCGTCCCAACACTTCTCCCTTCCTTTCCCTAGCACACGACCGCCACCAGGAGCCAACCAAGGCTCCTTTTCCCATTTTAAATTCCCCTTTCCTTCATTCGATAGATCCCGAAGAACGGGTTTCGATCACCCAACTCGATCACTAATGCTATGAAGGAACTTGCGGGAAGTAGAGAGAAGCTGAAAATTACATGCCATGTTAAAATGTAATCTTCAGCTTCTCTCCCCTTCCCGTCAGCTCCTTCAACATATCAGTGATACATGTGAGCTTCACTGATACTGGTGGTAGCATTCTTTGCATAAACTTTTTGTTACAAAATGTCACAACTAATATGTGTTAATTAATTATTAAGAAATATATTTTCGGTGATGCTTATCTAAATGGGTGAACAAAATAGAAATGGATTAATCAAAATTATAACTTGCAAATTTTTTGTGGTCCCGGGACACGGTGGGAATAGTTGGCATGGCGAGCATTTTGAATTTTTGGCATGTTTAGGTATTGGTGGAGGTAGTTTCGAAGCAGGGGTCGAACCAGAGGAATTTCTGCATATTTTAATTTCCAGAGGATAGTTAATTAACCAACCAATAATATGCATATGCTTTTCTTACAGAGGTGGGATGAGAGGTCGGTGAACAAAGTGACTCAATGATGGATGAAACGGCCACGCTGAGCTGGATCGCCTTCAGATGCATGGCAAATCCGTAGTTTGTTGAAGAGTTGAGGAAACAAGAGGTCATCACCTTCTCCCGGCTAGCCCTACTCATCATGACCTTTGCACTAAGGTAGTCCACAAATACCAAAAACTTGGATTCCAAATCCATCTTAGGGTCATTGAATGACATAGAAAAGTTAATAAAAATTTAGAAATTTATTATGTATTAATCATATCATAGAATCATTTAGAAGAGAAGTGAAAGAACACGGATCTAGGTGTACGATTTAGGGTTTATGATTGATATGAGAATTGGGGATTTAAACGAGGAAGAACTAGAATTCAGGTGAGAGAGAAGCAGAGTTCAGTTCCCGGGAAGGGAATAGTCAATGCCTAGAAGGTGAGAGAGAAGGGTTCGACTAGGGTTGAGAGAGAGAAGTAGGCTTAGGGAATAATTCTTGTGTTATTGCTTAACCTCCAATCTCTCCTAACACATAATATATATATATAATCCGACAAATTCCCTATAACTGCCCAAATAATTAACCTAACCGAATAACCCCCAATAGTTCCCGAAATATCCCACATAACATCAAATAGCCCAAATAATAATTAACGACAAATAAACCCCGAAGCAATGCATTGATGACATTGCATTCCACTTGAAACCCACCTTGCCCTCAAGGTGGGCCTTCTTTCTTCTCTACCTACTCCTTCTTCGCCGCGCTGGCCTCATTTTCTCGCCCTCATCTTCCCAGTTACCGACCAACAACATCAGGTGCCCCTTGGCGCCCTGGTGCCCACCGTATACCTCTCATCACAATTGAAACAGCGTCCGTCCTGCGCTTCTGGTCCATTTCTGCTTGAGTCAGCCTGACGAACCCTTTTGGCGGCAACCTAGCTGGGAATCTGCCTCTTGGGGTGGCATTGGTGGCCACCAGGTTTGCAGCTCCCGGCGGCGATGAGGCTGCGATGGCCCCTGGCCTACGTCGGCCCCGGCTCCTCCACTCGCCTTTTGGATTCTTCCCACTAATGATCTCGAACTGGCGAGCTCCTCCTCCTTGCGACCTGCAAGCCTAAAAAGCAACTCGAAGGAGTAGGGTTCAAAGACTTTAACTACAGCGCTAGCTCGGGTCGCAGTCCAACCATACAGAGCCCAACCAACGTCTCCTCCGTCATCTCCTTGCACTGTTTTCCTAGTTTGAGGAATTCTGCCGATACTTCGCTACTGATTCGGTATGCTTTAGCTTGGCTACCTGCTTTGTAGCCCACCCTTCGGCTCTCCCAAACTGATACTGTAGCTCATCCTAGAACCTGACCCATGAGATGGTCGTCCCAGCAGCGACATAAGCTCTCTCGGTTCATTCTCACCACTGGAGGGCATCTCCCTATAGATAGAAAGACATCAGATGAGCCTTCTTCTCCTCTCTAATCGGGTGGTTCTTGAACCACCTCTTAGCTGCATACAACCACAGTCCCACATCTCCATGGCTATCCAACTTAGGAAATTCTATGACCATCCGTTTAGCTCTAAATACCAAGTGTGGTGGTCGATGTCCGGGTCCACGCTGTCGGTAATCGGGCTCGGCAAATTAATGTTGGGAGTAGGCCTAGTCGGCCATATCCCGCTGGTAGTACTCGTCCAGACCCGGTTTGGTCCCAGGCCCTTGCCCCACTTCCAGGCCTTGACGGCCTCGTCCCCGTCCGCTCGAGGAGTTTCCCAAGGGGGGTACCCCGCCTCCGCCCTCCGCTGGAGATTCCCAAAGCCACCGCTGCCCATCGGTGTCGGCTCGATTAGAACCGGATTAACCGGTTTTGTTTCGACCAATTCTGGTATGGCCGGTTAATGACTCGGTTGGCCATTCGGTCCGACCTCGGTGTGGGTCTACGATCCATCCCCGACCAGCTCCATCGGGTTCTGGGTCCACCCACCAGCCTTCCTGGCTCGCGAAGCTCAGTTCATCTCCTTCTCTTGTAGGGCCCAATCCGTTGAAGCCTGGTACGTCTAAAATACCTGTCCCGTCTCTCTGAGGCCCTGCCGGCCACAGTTCTCCAGCGAACTCAGCCATCTTCTTTATCCCACGAGCCTCGTAAATCTCCTAAGCCGTCGGGACTGGTAGCAAGCCCGGATCGCTAAACACCGGCTCCGGAGGAGCCTCCTCGTCACGCTCCCCGTGTCCTCCCCCGCCGGCCGCGGTCCCCTTCGGCTTGAAATCAGTGGTCACGGTTACCTCCACCGCCTTCATCTCTTTCGTCCCTGTCTTAGCCGCCGGAGTCACCCCGCCAAGAGCAGCCGGCTCCTCGATTCCTGTCACCGTCGCCGCCGCCGGTCTGGGTTCCTGCGACTGCTCGCGGCTCTTCAGAACGCCTGTCAACACCTCCCTCATTTTTTTCGCGAGAGCCCGACACAGATTCGCGGTCACGTTCTTGCCCATCTCAATCGAGACTGCGAGTTGACTGCCCAGTGCTTGGATGGCGCCGAACGAGCCCCGCGATGCAGCCGCTGACCTCACGGTCGACTCCGTTAGGCTCTCCAGCGTTGTGAGGATCATATCATACTTGCTCGTCGTTACGTCCTTCAAGGTCACTACTTCCTTGGCCGTTCTCTACTATTGCGGTTTGTTTCGGGATTCGTCATCTTCGTCTTGCGATTGGCTCTTTTCAGGGAACAGCCAGGCTCTGATACCACTGAAAGAACAAGGATCTATATGTGTGATTTAGGGTTTATTATTGATAAGAGAATTGAGGATTTAGATGAGGAAGAACTGAAATTCAGGTGAGAGAGAAGCAGAGGTCGGTTCCCGAGAATGGAATGGCCGACGGCTAGAAGGTGAGGGAGAGAAGTAGGCTTAGGGAATAATTTTTTTGTTATTGCTTAACCTCTAATCTCTCCTAACACAAAATATATATATATATATATATATATATATTTTTATAATTCGACTGATTCACTATAACTACCCAAATCATTAACCTGATCGAATAACCCCCAATAGTTCCCGAAATATCCCACATAACATCAATTAGCCCGAATAATAACTAACGACAAATAAACTCCGAAAAAATGCATTTCTCAGAAGATGGATTTAACATGTCTTGAAAGTGGATTTATTGGGGATCCACCTCTCGAGCCATATCCTCAAGTACTTCCCATTTCCCACCTTTCATCTCGAACATTTCTTCAATAAAATCTTGGCCCGCATAAGGCTTCTCCATACGAAGATGGCAGAGGAGGATATTTAGCATTTTAGCTTAAAAGATTGTAGTAGTGGGGTAGTATTTGTCTTTCAGCATCATGGCCACTAAAGACTTAGGCCGTGTAATGATATTCGAAAGCTTATTTTTCTCTTTGAAATAGTGCTATATGTTGAAAATTCGACAATCTTGAAAACTCAAACCACCCTACCTATCGTCTTCACAAATGTGATCCTTACTTACCGAGCGAGGTACCAAAACATGATTTTTCAATGATATTTTATGCTAAAAAAATTAAAAGGTATCAAAATGTAAAATATAAATACTATATGTACTAATATATAAATTTTAAATATCTATGAATCCACCAATCCACTTAAGTTTGGATTAATTCAAAAATTCAAATTTGGTCACTCTCCATCTAAATATGTTAGCTTTGTCTAATCAACTCTCATAGTTGATTGTTAAATTCATGACGTGATAATTAAAAAATAAATAATAAATAATCTTTTTATTTTTTTACCTCATTTTCACACAATAATTAAAAAAATAAAATTTTAATTTCCTATAATCCCTAAATACCCAAACTAAACCCTACCGGATTCTGCATTCATTGGCCTCCTGTCCTCATCACCAATAAAAACAAGAAAATAAGATAAGTGCTTTAATATAAAGAGCCATCTTCCAAAACTCATAAACCCCCTTCCTAATCCCCAAATCTCCCATCCATATCTTGTCATACGGGAAGGGGCGCTTTAATCCCCAAACCCTTAAACCATCTTCCTACACCCATATACCATATTAGACAAACGAAAAACAGAGCTGGAGCGATGTTGTCCATTTACATTTTCAGTACCCAGTGTCATGCTTTTTTACTTTTTTTCTTTTCTAAATTGTACTTGCTTATGAACCAAGATTGTCTTCTACTGCTACTTTAATCCAGCTATATAAGCTGTGAGGACAATGAGAAGAAGTAGGTTTTCAGTCTTGCCAATACAAATTGTTGTTATGGTATTAAAATTTGGTTGATGGAAACCCTAACCTCCACTAGCAACAATGGCCGAAGAGGTAGGAGCTAACCCAGATCCTATGTTAGATCTTTTTTATCTCCATGGATTTGAACAAGTAATCTTGTTCTTGTAGCAGATAAGCTCACCACCACCAATTACAATGGTTGGAGCAAAGCAATGCATAATGAACTTTGAGCCAATGTAACACCCTACCCTGCACATTTTACCTAATCATATTGTTCATACAATTGCAGCGGAATTTAAAATTGGTGTTACATTAATTACCAAAAATCAACCAATAAAATTTTGCAATGAATTACTCGCGTAATGGGCTAACAGTTCTTGCAACTTATCCTGCCAAATTATTCATCTGAATCCCTGCATTCTTAGACATACATATATACTCATAACCATGTACATTGGCTTTCGTAGCCATAGTCACACTTTCGAACTCTGCAACTACATACCATACTTATACATGTTATAATCATCACTACATACACCACCACACACATATACACATATAATCAACTTTCCACACCTGTGGATATCTCACACTACATCAGAAGCTAGTATGCACATGAAAATGTTCTCAAAACATTTTTACAAAAAGGTGTGGATCACTGGCCAAAATCCTGAGTAGTAGTCCAAGCACAGAATAGTTGAAGACCATACCTCATCTTGGCTTCAACTCTAGCTCCTCTCCCACCTAACACTTATCTACTGCTGCTGATGATGATCTACTTACACATGACATAAGCAGAGAAAAAGGATAAAGAGGGTTAGCTCATAACTGAGTGAGATAATCATAGCATCGTGAGTTCATAACAGAGCATACTCCTACCATACATCTAGCAAACAAGCCAAAGCACTAGGATCAACCCTCAGCCATCCGACATCCCAATAGGCAAAAGACGCAACCACCTTGACTTATGCATAGGCATCTTATCATGTTTTAATCATAGGCGCCTGGCTACTCCCATGCTAATTACTCTTCCGGGAATACGGACCAAACATCTCGTGGATGTGGTCATATCGGACCCACCACTGTCGGTGTAATCATATCGGAGCTGACACCACTCTGGGTGTGGTCATATCGGACTCAACACCACTCTGGGTGTGGTCATATATCTCATGATGAATCAACGGTCAACACCACATCAGGGGTGTGACATAACATATCATAACTGAGTAATAGCATGGGGAGCCCTAATTACTATGTAATTGACCATGAGACCAAAGTACTCTTACTTGGTATCCTTATACATGATCCATATCTCATCTTGCTTAATCATAATTCATTACTTAGACATGTTCTTGACCTGGCCACAATTGGCTCAACATAACCAGGAGTCGTATAATTGCACTTCCTCGGGATAAACCCTCGTGCAAGTCATCCTCCTTAAACATCATAATATCACCAGGGAATATATATTTTCCCACATGTGCATCCAAATACAACAATCATGAAAAATCATACCCAATCACCTTCTCGAACCATCAAAATTCATAAAAACATATTAACAGTTATGCCCACAATTTGCAACATATACTCAATCATCAGCATAAACAATGTCTGTATCGACTAGTAGGGATGGCAACAAAACCCGAACCCACGGGTACCCACCCGACCCAACCCGGTCAACGCGGGTAAAATCCGTGTTGACGGGTTTTTCGCCAAGTTCGGGTTTAAACCCGCTACACTATTCACTAGCTCGGGTTGGGTTTGGGTTTAGGTAAACCCGCCCCATGGGTACCCGCCCACACACATATAATAACTTTCCCGGTATATTTAATATTCTAAATAATATATCTTCCTTAAACAACTAATATTCTATATGTTTGTGGAGACATGTATAATTTGTTCTTTCTAATTGTTTAGAACGAAGTTGATATTATGAAGTGGAGAGTGAAGAAACTTAGTTGACGAGGAAGAAGCTTTCAATTAATCTTATTGTTTATATATGTTTATCTTTAATTTTGAACAATTTGTATTGATCATTTGCGGTTTGCTTGTATGCTCTAGATTGGTGTTTTTTGTATGATTAATTTGTATGAGAAAATTTATGTTAAACTTTTATTTTGAAAGAAACTTGTTATTGTAAATTTTTACCACAAAAACTCACGGGTACCCATGAACCCGCGGATACCCAGTGGGTTGGGTTGGGTTTGAGTTTTTCAAATCCAATGGGTTTTACCCCGGGTTTTTTTGGCGGATAAACCCATGGGTTTGGGTTTGACAAAACCCGCCCAACCCGACCCATTGCCATCCCTATCGACTACGACAAGTCAATAATATCATACAACAATCCATGGTTCATCATATAGAAAAAAAGTTCATACATCCCTAATCATGCCATTCTAGTTCACCTAGGTCAATTCTAAGCATCAATATAATTATCGTGATACGACAAACCCGGTATGCCGTGCTAATCCCTCACCAGTTTTGGTCGTTCAAACACCGGTTTTAGCTTCTCGTACTAAAACGTGAATTTCACGAACGAACTCGGAATTAGAATCTGAGACCGTTCTAATATCTCCTGCAGTATCCCCGTCAAAGTTAATTCTAGGCTCCGGATCAAATTCTCGATAAAAACACATCAAACCCTGGCCGGAGCTAAATTCAGCGATTTGAACCCCGACCTAAATAATTGCCAAAATTCATGGATTAGAACTAGAGTATTGATTACCTCGCTGCAGAAAGCTCGTATATGAAATTTGGGCTCAATCCGGATTTCGGATACTCTGAAACCTTAATTCCTTCGATCGCAAATTCAAGAAATTCCTGATCCAAAAACTCGTTTTAAAGCTCTAAATCGATAAATCACGATGTATAGATGGATTAGGCGTTACTCACGGGATTTTTGGATCACCAGGGTTCAAGAATTGAGCTTTGGAAAATTTTCCCTCGCGTCCATATGTGCGCTCTGCTTGCTTTGTAGCTCTCGGCAATTAAAAGGAAGAAGATGAGATTGATTGAGGAAAGAAATGGACCGGGGAGTTTGAATAAACTCTCCCACCGCCTGACCACTTTTAAATTGTTTTCGTTTTTATTAATTATATATTTTATAAATATATATATATATATATATATATATATATATGGTGCCTTCTACGGTACCTCAGGTGAAATCCGGGGTACCGCATACCTTGAGTATGAAAACGCTATCTAGGCCTCGAATTAGCAGGATTTTTGGGCATGATACTATACCCTAAGCCTTATTGAGTGAACCCTAGGTGCTAATTATCTAAATCATAAACTATAAACCCTAAGATGGTGCATTAAATTTTTTGCCTATATTTGGACGAATCATAACCGTCGATTATTGTTTCTAACTAAATTGATCTTGGAATATAAGATTTGGAGAATTAAGACCTAGATTTTGAACTTTAAGGATTAGAGTATAGTTTCATGTCTGAAATATCAGTCAATTAAAGTTCTGGATAGCGTTTTCTTACTCAAGGTATGCGAGACCCCCGATCGATTGATAATCCGATTTTCGTCGAAATACTATCAAAACGCTCGATTTTAAATCGCGAACTTTCTAGCGATTGAAACATTGGTTTTGACGGAATGGGATGTTACAATTCTCCCCTCCTTAAAAGATTTCGTTCCCGAAATCTAACCTTGAGTTGTACCCTTAGTCCGCTTACTTACCCTTGACATGGTCTATCGTAGATAAACCATTACTTAACTCTTAGTTTAGGTGATTCATAACATAGAAATTAACACATAATACCTCAAGTTCCCACATTTAGGTTTCAAAAACCTATAATGGGTTATCACATCAAAAGCACATCAACAAGTTCAAAAGTATAATTCACTAAACCAAGTTATTAACCTGCAAGGTAGGTGCCACTAACACAAGGTTATATAAACCTACAAAATGGTTACCACAACATTATCAAGATTCATATCTCTGTTTAGATATCTACCATCACAACTCATCATGTCATCATAGTGTAAACTCAACTGCATTGCATAGCTAGCCACCATGCTTCTCGATCAGTTAGTAGTAACACTAAAAGTACTTCTGTGCAAGCTAAACAGAAACATTGGCCTTATCTTGATCCACACACCATTAGGGTTTAACCAAGTTACTCACTTGGTTGAAACAAAACTTTCTTCAAAATCATTACTTGGACAACAAGATAAAAACTCCACATATTTTCAAAAATCTCTTAAACCATAAAATTTTCAAGATTACTTCAAATACTCAAAATCATGTTTGACCATATGCAACTGACTATGCAACACATCATCACTTTTGGTGTCAACTTATGGAAAGTTTAGTGCAAATACAGGTATGGACTCTGGAGTACTCTCTCCCCTTTTGAGGGTGATCAGTCCTCAAGAGTGAAAGTAACATACCCATAATGCAGAAAACAAACCAGCTCTGATACCAAACTGTAACACCCTACCCTGCACATTTTGCCTAATCATATTTTTCGTACAATTGCAGCGGAATTTAAAACTGGTGTTACATTAATTAGCAAAAATCAACCAATAAAATTTCGACATGAATTACTCGCGTAATGGGCTAACAGTTCTTGCAACTTATCCTGCCAAATTATTCATCTGAATCCCTGCATTCTTAGACATACATATATATACTCATAACCATGTACATTGGCTTTCGTAGCCATAGTCACAGTTTCGTACTCTGCAACTAAATACCATACTTATACATGTTATAATCATCACTACATACATCACCACACACATATACACGTATAATCAACTTTCCACACCTGTGGATATCTCACACTACATCAGAAGCTAGTATGCACATGAAAATGTTCTCAAAACATTTTTACAAACAGTTGTGGATCACTGGCCAAAATCCCGAGTAGTAGTCCAAGCACAGAATAGTTGAAGACCATACCTCATCTTGGCTTAACTCTAGCTCCTCTCCCACCTAACACTTATCTACTGCTGCTGATGATGATGATCTACTTACACATGACATAAGCAGAGAAAAAGGATAAAGAGGGTCAGCTCATAGCTGAGTGAGATAATCATAGCATCGTGAGTTCATAACAGAGCATACCCCTACCATAAATCTAGCAAACCAACCAAAGCACTAGGATCAAACCTGATAGACCAATAATTATACATGTTTTTACCCCTATTCTTGAGCCGTTTGAGAGGTTGACTCTCGTGTTTTAAGCCGATTTCACGCGAGGTTGTGTGTTTATGTCATATTTCAGGACCCGGCGTTGGAATCGAGGCGAGGAAACGAGTTTTGGGTCGAAAGGAGTGAAGTTGGGTCGAAGTGTGCTGGAGAGCAAAAATACCCGGCCATGAGCAGAAATACCCAACCGGGTATTATTTGGCCATGACTGGGGATTTTCGGCTGGGCGTCCGTGAGAAACAGAAGGGGTCCCGGGCTGGAGGCAAAAATCCCCGACCGGGGATTCTTGGGACAGACCGGGGATTTCCCCCTGACATCAAAACGTGCGTTTCATTTATACCCGGTCGAGACCCAAAATACCCGACCGGGTATCGCGACAGGCAGCTGTTTTAAAGGAAAAAAAGGCCAAAGATCAAGGGTTTCGAGTTTTAGAGAGATAGAGCGATTCCTAGAGAGAGAAAGCGACGAACAAGAGTTCCCAAGTGCCATAGCTTGATCTTCATCACCATTGGAGCCCGGCTTTAGCTTGGAGAAGTGCCGATTGACAACCAGGAGCAGAAATCCATCCTTCACAGTATGATTTCCGCGTCTGAATCTGTTTTTGCTTCTTTCTCCATGGAGTAGTTCTCCCATTCATCTGGGTATGGAGAACCCTAGATTTGTATGTTAGGTCTGATTGTATGAACCCAAGTACAGATTTCAGGAGTTGATTATATCTGATTGAGGCTTGAATGATTGAATGACTTGAATCCTGATCAAATTCCTGTTGTTTCCGCTTTAACCTAGAATGAGAATATCTGCCTAGGTTGATAGAGCACCCTTAATTGAAGGTGGCGAATTGGTGACTTTAGTCGAGGAGCCAATTCGCTATTCTGTACCGAATTCAATTCGGTAGTGGAGGTTTGGTTCGTTAGGGCCTCAATCTGTTTACTCCGGTGGAGGTTAGTCGCCCGCTGGAGACTCAGATTGAGAGGGTCTGAAGACCTTTAGTCGAGACTTCAGGCTGTTTAAGAACCTTCCGGAGCATAATTTTCATGGAAACTGAACTTGGTAAATTGCAATCCGGCTTAACTACAGTCTAGGGGGAACCATATCCGGGTGACCTCTCTTAACCTGAAAACAACCGTTTACTTGCTTTGTTTGTTTATTAATTTGGACTTGCACTAAAGTTTCACTGCTAGATAACAAGAATTCACCGAGTAGTCATCAAATCTAGGACCCGGGTTGACATTAAAACCCAAACCCGCTATACTACGCCTTAGGAAGTGGTTTCACTTGGCCATATTCTAGGGTGACAGTAGGAGTGAGTCAAGTTTTTGCCGCCGTTGCCGGGGACGGCTAGGTTGTTGAAGAAAAGTGATTTCTGTTACTTTAGCACTTTCGTTTTGGCATTGACTGTTTGTTCTTTCCCACTTGTGCCTTCACGGGTTTGCTTGCTTGATTGTGTGCAGGTAGTGCATGAACCGTAGCCAGTCGGGAGGTTTACTGCCGTTGAATCCGGAGATTGAACGCACTTGTGGCCAACTCAGGAGACAACAACGAGCTAGACTGGCTACGGCGGAGCGCATAGACGGCCATTTGAGCAGCGAGTCCGAGGACGAATACGTGATGGAAGGAGAACACAAACAACCCCCGGGGAATCCTCTCCAGGTTCCCCTGGTGAATCAGCTCTAGGGGAACAACCCCATACCCCAGGCAGATGGGGTTCATCATCACCCACCATCACCGGGTCCCACTTTGGAGTACTACTACACTCCACGGATTGCTGACATCTGCCCGGTCATCCTCTATCTGC